GTGTCTCCTCTGGTGGATTAAGATGACACTCCAGATCTAGCTGCCCTGTTACAGGCAGATAGAAGATGCTGCTACTGCGCTGCTACCTGTGCAACATCTTAACTAAACACCTGCAGCAACAAAATATCTTAGCTAAAGTTGTATCCATGGATAGCTCAGCTTGTTTTTAAACACAATGAAGACCCATATTTCATTATAATATTTTCCTGGGGGTGAATGGAGGGCTCACATATTGGATGAAAGAGTTCCTTAGTAACAGACCACCCACAAAGTCTCCTTATGAATGGTATACACTTTGAGGAATTGGTCTGAATGGATGGTCAATGATGGTGTTTTTTAACTATCCTTCTCCAAGACTGCGATCAGACTGGTATATTTTGGAGCAGGGTGAGAGCAGACTGCAGTAATCTGAGCAGACTGCGATCAGACCGGTATATAAACTAAGATCACTTTATTGCCCATAAACAATTTCTTGTATTAGGAATATGTCTTTTTTGCATACCCCAACTTGTTCTCCATGAGACACACAGACAGGGAAAGAGGCTTGGGGTCTGAGCAAAGGGTCAGCCATTTATACGGCGCCCCTGGAGCAGGGTACAAACAGACTGCAGTAATCTGATCAGACCGCGATCAGACCGGTATACTCTGGAGCGGGGTGCAAACAGACTGCAGCAATCTGATCAGACCGTGATCAGACTGGTATACTCTGGAGCAGGGTGGGAGCAGACTGCGGTATTCTGATCAGACTGCCTCAGCAGTGAGAAGCTGGTGGTCAGCGTCTGGGGATCTCTACCCTGGCAAGACAGACCATCACAGATTTGAGCAGCTTCGGCTACAGAGTGGGATCTAAGCCAGACTCCAGGGCAGAACAGGACATTCGACTTTGGAGCAGTATCCTGGCGTCAAGAACCACAGGCAGGAATGCAGACAGGCTTCGGGATCCAGGGTGACACGACCACCAGGAGAGGGGTCTGAGGCTAATACTGGGGAATCAGAGTGCAGACGAGATCACACGGGACAGGGATAAAATAAAACCGGGACAAGGGAAAAATAAGTACAGATTGGAAACTAGGATGGGGGTGAAAATACAATGACGGAGTCCAATTGGCTCTATCTTTAGAGAGTGGTTATTTTCAGAAAAAAATGCAGATCACCTGTAGAAAATTGGAATTACTTGATGAGTCCTGGAAACAGTTTCTCAGGGCAACCACTAGGTGAGAGATGGCTTGCAGGACACGATCGTAACAATTTCAAAACAGTTTTTTAACACCTCTAATGAAGCCATATAATTGTAAAAACTACTAACATCATAATATGATATATATGTGATATAATATAATTATGAACAAGTAATAGGTTTATTCCATGCTGAAAAAAAGAAGAGAGAGATCACAACGTTTCGACCGTGGAGCCTTCTTCAGGTGTGAGAGAGACAGGGCAGTAGGCAAAGGTAATGTAGCGGGAGAACAAAGGTTGGGAGGGAGGAGGAGTGAGAGGCGGGAGCAGGGGACAGAAAGAGAGGCCAGTCAAGAGGTGTGAAGTCAGAATGGGTGCAGAGAGGTGTGAA